CTGGGAGTCCAGAACACTCCATCACCCCTCCTCTCTCTGGGTGGTTATGAGAGCTTATGAGCCTTTCCTTTCTCTACTCCCTCACTGGGTGAGTGGTACCAGCTTCAGAACACATGAGCCTCCGTCAGAAACCTGGAGACACCCATTTTCTGTCACCGGTCAGCTTCCTGGGACCTAAAGGAATCAGAATGGTTACCTAAAGGAAGGTAGAATGGCTCCTACCTTCCCCATTTTCCAACCAGTAGATCCCAGCACTGCAGCCTGTGTTTTCACCATCTCCCACCTGGACTTTATTTTTCTTAAATTGTGGTAAATACACATAACATAAAATTGACCACCTTAACCATTTCTTAGCATACAGTCAGTGGCATTAGTGCATTTACATTGCTATGCAACCATCACCACCATCCATCCACAAAACGCTTTTTGTCTTGCAAACTGAAACTCTGCACCCATTAAACAGGAACTCCCCCTTTCTCTATCCCCTGGCAACCACCCTTCTTCTTTCTGTCTCTAACATTTTGACTACACTAGGTGTCTCATATAAGTGGAATCACACAGTGTTTGCCTTTTTGGGACGGGCTGAGTCAGTCAGTCTGGGGGAACACCCAGACTTCATCATGGGACAGATGCCTCCTGGTTCCCATTCTGCAGAGCAGTCTGGAGAGAGGGCATGGTCCTCTCCCCCGACTCCCAGCTTGAGCCCTGGGCTTTCCTGCATCTCTTGTAACTATTTGGTTTGTTAAATTACACACATATAGCCATGTCCCTCAAGGCCAAAGTGAATTACTGGGGATAGGACACATCTAAATCTATGATGAGGAACTGTTTTCTGAACTGTCCCATAATTATCAATATGTCTTCCTTTTACTTGATTTCTGTACATCACATAATTGTGCCGGATTAATGTTTTGTTTCTTTCTTGTTCCTTTTTGGGGAAAGCACCTGTCGTGACCCCTCCCTTAATGTCATCCAGAGGATCCCAGAGTTGGTCCTTTTAACCAGGACTTAGTAAAATCTCAGAGAGGGCTTTTGTTCTTCTTTATCTTTGGAGAAGGTAGAAAGTGGAAAATTATTAAAACATGGTTAGTATAAGGCTTGGCACACACATCCTGCTTAATTAATGAAGCCCGGAGCATCAGGAAATGAGTTTCTGAGTACACAATTCAGAGAGGCTGCAGATGGAATTTTCCAGGTTATTCCTTTAGGTCACGGAGGCTGACTTGTGACAGAAGAGGGGAAGTGGACACTTAGCTTGCATTTCATGTCCCCTCAAAACCTTATGCAGTAGACATTCATTATTATCAATTATTATTATTGCTAGGGACCAAGGTCTAGAAAGGTTATGAGCCTTTCCTCAGGTCCCTTAGTAGTGGCTGTTATTTGAAAAGCTCCAAAGCCACAGGTCTAACCCTTTCTGAAGCCACCCTGATGTGGCCAGCAAGAGGATTCAAAGTGGTTCAGCCTGCACTGAGAACGTAAGTGGTGCCTCATCCAGGACGCCTCCCCGACATCCTGCCTCCTTTCATTCTTCTCACCCATCAACACAGTCATACTATAAATGAAGTCTTAGGGTGTTCCCTGAGAACAGGAGAAGAGTGCTTCTATCATCTCATGAGGAAGTGAGCTTGCAACCAACTGGGAAAGAAAAGGAACCCATTCATTCAGCATCTAGTTACTGGGCATCTCACTGTGGACTAGTTACTAACATGAGTAGAGAGCATGGTGTCTGTCCTCTGAAACTCATAGCCTAGTTGGGGAGACAGACATACAAACACAGTGTTGTACTGCTCTCCAATGCATGTGGTCATAGTTTTCTTAGGGAGCATAAAAGCGAGAAATTAGCCATCTCTGAGAGAATCAGAGAGGGTTTATCAGGGGAGGGACAACTGAGCTGGGTATTGAAGAATTGGTAGGAGTTCACTAGATGCATCAGAGTGGGGCACAGTGGAGAGGGCATGGGAAGTGAACTCACATTTAATGAACATGCCATGCGCCAGGCACTTCACATATACTATCTTGTTTAATTTTCACAACAGCCCCCTTGTAAGGTAGGTATTAACAGATAAGGAAACTGAAGCTGAAATGTTAAGTGTTTCCCCTAAGAGGTTCTTTTTTTCTTTTTCTTTTTTTGAGACAGAGTTTCATGCTGTTGTCCCAATTTAGAGTGCTCTGGCATCATAGCTCAGAACAACCTCAGACTCCTGGGCTCAGTGAGCCTCTTGACTCAGCCTCCTGAGTAGCTGGGACTACAGATGTGTGCCATGACACCTGGCTAATTTCTCTCTCTCTCTCTTTTTTCTTTTTTTTAGTAGAAACAGAGTCTCATTCTTGTTCAGGCTGGTCTTGACCTCTTGAGCTCAAGCAATCCTCCTACCTCAGCCTCCCAGAGTGCTAGGATTACAGGCATGACCCTCTAAGACAGTGATTCTCAACCTGTGGGTTGCAACCCCTTTTTAACAATGAAAATACATTGTGGCATTTGGAAGGTTGAGAACCTGTTGAGGTTCTTAAAACATGGTACATGGACCCTGGGGGAATCCTCAAGACTCTCTGAGGAAAGGTCACAACTATGGCTGCAACACTGAGATGCTAGTGCTTTTCTTCACTGTGCTGACATTCTCACTATTGGCACAACAGCAATAGAAGGAAATAATACTGGTGCCTTAATACTAATCAAAGGTCTTGGCACCAAATTGTATTTGTCATTGTATTTTTAGAATCTCATGCACTCATGGTTTAAAAAAAAAAGAACTGGCTTTATTTAAGAATGTCCTTGATGAAGCAGTAAAATTATTAATTTTAATTTTCAAGTACATGTGTTTATAATGTGTTATGGGATGAAATGGGAAGTATGTTTAGAGCACTTTTGCTATACGTCAAAAATAGTGATTGTCACCAGGGAAAGCACTTGAGTGACTGCTTAAATGACAAGCTGAACTAGCTACTTTTCTTTCTTTTTTTCTTATGGAATACCGTTTTTACTTGAAAGAATGACTGACTGTTTTCAAGATAACTGCCATAAAATCTACCTGAGCCCCGGCAACCTCCCTCCCGCAGACCGTCCTTTCCCCATGACTTTCCTTGTGCTGATTCCCTGTTGTCTCTGTTCTCCAAGTCTGTCCACATCCCTTGCCTGTGTCCTGACCCCTCACTGCTTCCCTCCTCTACTCCAGGCTTGGAATCCGACTTTGCAGGAGGCCACCTCTAAGGCTGTCAGTAAGTCTTTGTGGGAAAATGGGTGTCCAGCCTGTCAGTTCACTTGGTGATCCCTTGAGAATGGAGACCAGAAGCTCTGTCCAAACTCCTTGTTTTGTGGATGAGAGAGGAATGTACTTGTTGGCTCAGCAAAGGACCAGGGGCTGCAAGCCAGGCCCCTTCTTCCCAGCCCTGGGCTCTTTTATGAAAATGATCTCCCCACTCAGAGTCACAGAGCCTCCTCTAGCGGGAGGTCTCCCCGTGAGTCTCCCTGGCCACCCTTCCATCCAGGCTCACCTGCCCTGCAGCACTGGGGTAGGCATTCACCCCTTCATGCCCACTGCTCCAGAGAAAGCGCTTTGGCTATTTAGTGGGACGCTGTGGGTCAGGTCTTAGCCATAACCATGTTAATTCTTATTGTCTACACCAAAGCCATTCTGCTTTCCCTCAGCCAGGCCTCACCAATCAGACAGACCTGCCTTGGGACAGCCTGCTTCAGGCAGGTCCCTTAAAGACTTCCAAGGGGAAGGTTGATCCTGCTTTAATGGAGGTAAATTCCACATACCACGCAATCCATCACTTTAACCATTTAAAAGTGTATGATTGGCTCAGCGCCTATAGCTCAACCGGCTAAGGCGCCAGCCACGTACACCTAAGGTGGCGGGTTCGAATCCCCAGCCTGGACCCGCCAAAACAACAATGA